TTTTACTTATGGAGTTCACAATTTTTTGTAATGATTTGCTGCAGCAGTAAAGTTAAGTTCCTTGACCAGTGAACAACCGTCATGTCAGATTTTGTTTAACCCTGTGTTAGTTAACACACATTCACCTAGACAGATGAAAATTAACAAGTTTCCAGTAAGTCTGCTGAGAAGTTAATTTTATAAATCAAGTTGTATCAAAAGTCCAAGTACCGAGTGAATATTTGAAGAAAGTCATGAATGTATGAGGTATGATTTTAAACAAGTCATGGAATTTGCAAGTAAACAAAGGATTTAATTATAATATCACATGTTATCACAAGTTATATCTTATTAATAATTTTTAGGCCAATGATCGGCACAATTAAAATGTAATGAGATCAAATTTAGTTACCAATGATCGGTATGGTTTTGAACCAGTCATTTTTCTTCTCTCAGTTAGGTGATTCCTTGTGTTCGTACTATCAATGACTGGTATAGTTTTCTTCTAACTAGTCCCTTTTTTCTTCGTTAGGTGATTCAATGTTTTTGTTGGCTTCATCTTTTTTCATGTTCTCTTCATTATCAGGTGTCTTGTTTTTGGCCTCATCTTCATTAATGAGTTTGTTTTCATCATTGACTGGAACATCCCCATTGGCAATGGTTGCATCCTCTTCAGTTAATGAGTCTTCAAGCTCAGGAATCTCCTCGTCGCGATCATAGCATTTAAGCCAATTTTCACCTAATGACAAAGCATTAAGTTAGGTAACGAAAGAAGGAAAGCTAAATTTATCAATAAAATGGGACTAAACTCACTTGCTTCACATAAGTCAATCCTGTAGGAATTATCATTCATCACTTCTCTGAACACCAAAACAATGTTCTTGCCTTGGATGACATCATTCTTGATCTGCTGAATGTCTTCTTTTGATAGGAGAGACAAATATTTCTTCGGCAGGTATGTTCTGTACCTTTTGCCATTAGTGTGCAGCAGAGTGGCGCACTCGCCTGGACCATACTTGTCGTTGTTTGTATGGATTATACCCAAAATTCTGTAGGCTTTGTTTTTTTCAAGCTGCCTTATTTGGGTGTACGGTGTCCAATCGTTGTTCGTTGTTTTCATTTTCTTGTAAGGACTCTGGAACATACAATTTTAATTCATAATTACTTATGTGTTAAAAGTCCTTGGTTTGGAAGAACTTTAACCTAAACTGGATGTGAATGCTATTGTAAGAACTGTACTATAGAATTATGCAATGCCTTAGCAGTTAAGCAAAACTAAAATTGAAATTTTCGGTTACGACACAAGGAAATTACCAGAATTTAGATAAATATACGAATACTCTGAAAGTTAGACAACGGCAACTTACAGCAAGGTCATGTAGTATGAGAGGTCTTAACCTAGCTGTGATTTAATTTGAATGAATACGAATTTGAAGGTCTCAAACGAAATTAAGAAATGAATAATATCAGATTCAAACGAAAAACAATGACAGAAAATTGTCTAGCAAGACTGTATCGAAACTGGAACTAATCTTGACATGTGGCTGTGCTTGTGATAGTTCATCTTCAGATGTTCTATTCAGTTTTAAATTAATCACAATGCACAATGAAAATGAAACATTATGGGTTGAAGGAAAAGAGAAACTTACCGACGACATGTTGGATTTTACACTGGATGTTCTAAGATTAAGTAAATCAAGCTCGAACTTCACGTAGATGAGGTACAACCGAACCGGCGAAATGCTGGGTGGGTCAGTGCTGCTGGCTGAAGCTGGCGGAAACTGGTATGAGATCAGATGGCAGAAGGATCGTTACGGCCAGGGCCAGGCCGGAAGTTGTACAGTATGCCCAACGATACAAAATAAGAAAAATAGGTCGTGTAGGAATGTTGAAAACAAGTGCGTACCATGAAATTTGTTTTATATTTGTATGCAGTGCATTTTAAAATAGAAATACTCCATTTTGTTTGATTATTATTTAGGTTGAAGTCAGTAGTGTAGAGAATCAAGAACCAGTCAGGAGTAATGTCAACAAACAAATGAATGTCTGGTGCCGCCGATGTTTTTGAGTGTTTGAACTGAGAATTCTCTGTCTCTCTCCCCCTCGACTTTGGGTCTTTGGTAGTTGAATTT